ATCCCCTCCATGTAACATCAGTTAACAGTAAAAGTTTACAGGGCAGTTCATCAGTTTTACATTGAACAAATCATACACCTTGTTTCATTACAATGATTATAATCCCCTCCATGTAACATCAGTTAACAGTATTTCTCTCTATTCACTTTAGTGCTTAATTAATTAATTAATTAAATACTCAGGCATATAAAGTACTTTATACCACCAAAGGGCATATTCTGCAAGTCTGCCTCCTGGCCACCAGCACTCAGTCCCTTTCTTCCCATGAATCTGGAATCCTCAGCCACTCCCCATCTCTGTTCCATCTCTGGTATCACTGCTTCTCTGCATAAGGTCCTGCATTCCACTTGTGCTCTTCTCCCTTGATGGTCCTAGGGTCTTCTGTGTCTGGACTGTAAGATTAACCACTCTCCTGTTTTTGTTATAAAACTTCTACCTTTACAGTTATGACAGTCTTAATTAGTCATGATAACAATTACTATTGAATTATAAGAATCTTATCCCTATCTCTTTTAACCAGACCCATCTAGACAAGATGACAGCTATTCAGTGGGGATTCTTCCCTGCCCACCGACTCTTAAACTTAACTCCCCCTTGAAACCTTGTAAGCCAGTCTCTTTGTGCCTTTATCGCCCTCTCATTTTAGGTAGCCAGTGTCTAAGTTGCCCATCGTATCTACCCTCTGTACAGAAGGGTATACATTGATACTTGATGTGAAGACTCCTTCCCTCTCTGTTGTTGTTACTACCTCCATGAGTATAGGTCAAGTTCATCAAATTGTAGCAATTTATCCTCGTTTCCTTTATCAAAAATAGGTTTGTTTTTTTTCTTTTTTTATCATCCTCTAGCCAAACTCTGATTATCCAGCCATTGAGGCTAGGTCACATGGGTACTGTCTGCAACTTTGGGTGTTCTTGTGCGACTCCTCTCACTTCATATCAGCTGGATGCTTCACTCTCAGCTCTAACTCTCTGTGGCTATGTCCTCATCCATAGACTCGGGTGTCTCCAGGTCACACCACACTTTGGAACAATCCCTTCTTCTTCTTCGTGCACTCATCTCCAGGTCAGCTGGAGTCTGTGGACCGTGGTTGAACTCAGCCCATTTCTTCATTGCTGCCTTTCCCCCTCTTCTACTCATCAGTAGACTAACATGAGCACCAGCAAGCTTACATGCCTGCACATGTGCTCCCTTTGATTTTCAGTCTTAGAAGGGGTCAGCATATATCCTTAATCCTTTATTCCAATTTAATAATTTATAATAGTCTATTGTGTGGCTCCAGTTAGGATGAAAATTTAGGTAGTGCTATAGGATAAGCACTGGACTGCTTAACTGCAAGGTCAGTGGTTCAAACCTACCGTCGACACCTTGGAAACCCTATATGAGGTTGCTATGAGTTGAAACCAACTTGATAGCACACAATGGCAACAGCAGTAAGAAGCATAGAAAAATGTTTTTGTAAAATAGATTCATTTACATATAATTTTGGTTTGTTAGCAGTTTGTTGTTGTTAGGTGCCACCAAGTCGGTACTGACTCATAGCCACCCTGTGCACAGCAGAACAAAACACTGCTGGATCCTGGGCCAACCTCACTACTGTTGCCGCACGTGCTTGAATCCATTGATGCTGCCACTTGGCCAATACATCTTGCTGGAGGTCTTCCTCTTTTTCTCTGACCCTCCACCTTACCAAACATGATATCCTTCTCTAGCGACTGGTCCCTCCTGACAATATGTCCGAAGTATGAGAGACAAAGTTTGGCCATCTTGGCCTCCAAGGAGCACTGTGGCTGCACTTCTTCCAAAACGGATCTATTGGTTTTTTGGCAGCCCATGGCACTTTCAATATTCTTCTCTAACACCATAACTCAAAAGCATCAATTCTTCTACGGTCCTCCCTATCCAGCTTTTGCACGCATATGAGGTTATTGAAAATAACATGACTTGGGTCAGGCGCACCTTAGTCCTCAAGCAGACATCTTTGCTCTTCAACACTTTAAAAAGGTCTTGTGCAGCAGATTTGCCTAATGCAATATGTCATTTGATTTCTTGACTGTTGCTTCCTTGAGTGTTGATAGTTGATCCAAGAAGAATGAAGTCCTTGACCACTTCAATCTTTTCTCTGTTGATAAGAATGTTGTTTATTGGTCCAGTGGTGAGGATTTTTGTTTTCTTTACATTGAGATGTAATCCATACCAGAGGCTGTGCTCTTCGATCTTCATCAGTAAATGTTTTAAGTCCTCTTCATGTACAGCAAGCAAGGCTATATCATCTGCATATACAGGTTGTTAATGCAATTTGTGGAAGTACTAAAATGTGCAGTGGAAGGTCTTTGTTCTATCTTTGTAGAAGACTGTTGGTAAGAAGCATTTGTGGGAGAGGTAGACAGTATAAACATTATAGGAACTGAAAGACATCAAGAACCTAGATGTTGTATGGTTTACGTGACATATAATAGGAATGTTTGTCTTAACTTCCTACTTAATGGAAAAGGAGGTAATATATCAAGACCTTGTGAAGAGTAAACTGTGTTCGCTTTTTTGAGGGCTCAGTTGGTATAAGATAGCATATCCCTACACACTTTTAGGAGTGCAGTAGCTCAATAGGATAAATACTGGACTGCAAACCAGAAGGTTGGCAGCTCAAGCCCACCAGCTGCTCTATAGCCTAAAGAAAGTCTTTCTGCTCCCACAAAAACTTACAGCCTCAGAAACGCTATAAAGGGTCATGTGAGTCAGAACCCATCTCAGTGGCACTTAACAACACACTTTGCCTAACAGATCAAAGGAAAACTGCAGCAGTGCTGTTGTTTGAAGCTGGAAACCTTTTTGGGACTCTGAATTGACAGTACACCTTCCCCAATTATCTCCGCTGTGCTTATACTAAATGTTATGCTGAAGAGTTGGAGATCTCACAGGCCTACTAAAATTCATCGTTGGTCCCTAAGTAATCACCTTGGTGGTGGCTGTGTGCTGCCAAGTCAGTTCTGACTCATAGCGACCCTGAGTAGGGTTTCTGAGACTAAATCTTTGCACCTGCTTTTTCTTATATGAATTTCATGGTTTTATTTTGTATATTTGAGTCTTTAATCTGTGTTCATGTATGGTGTGAAACATGGAAATGGTTTTGATTATCTACACGTGGGAATCCAATTTTCTCTGCACTGTTTATTGAGGAGACTTTTCTTTCCCTGCTGAGTGGACTTGGCATCCTTCTCAAATCAGCTGACAATAGATGTATGGGTATATTTTTGGGCTCTCAAATCTATTCCCTTGGTCTCTGTGTCTATTATTACAAAATGATCAGGTTGTTTTGATGATTGTAACTGTATGAAAAAACAACAACAATAAAAACAAAAACAAAAAACCTGTAGAATTGATTCCTACTTATTAAGACCCTGTGTAGGGTTTATGTGTGCCAAAAGCCTCACCTTTCTCCCACAGAGCAGCTGGTGGGGTTGAATGCCTGTACTTGGGATTAGCAGTTCATTGCTTATCCTATAACACTGCCAGGACTCCTCTGTAACTGTATGTTGTTGTTAGGTGCCATCGAGTCAGTTCCGATTCCTAGCAATGCTGTATAGGGCTTCCAAGGAGCGACTAGTGAATTTGAATCACTGACCTGGCAGTTCAAACCTACCTTGAAGTCCAGTGCATTATCCTATGTGCCACTCCAGGACTTCACATGATAAAGATTACAGCCCTTGGAAACCCTATAGGGCAGTTCTACTTGGTCCTAGTGTTGTGTTGCTGTGAGTTGGAATGGACTTTATGGCAATGTGTTTGGTTTGTATATATGATACATAAAATTGATTCATAAAAATTCTCATGTATGGGTTAAGTGCTGACGAGTCAGTTGAGACTCATAACAACCCTGTACAGGGTTTCTAAGGAGCTGCTTGGGGGTTTGAACCACTGACCTTGAAGTTAGCAGTCGGGTGCTTATCCTGCAGCTCCTCACCAGGACTCCATACCATGGAGCATTTGTAGAAGATTAGTTTCTGTTTTTGTTATTATTGCAGGTTTATTATTCAGTATTCTGTCTAGATCACAAGTATATAGTGTTATCCCTAGAATAATAAAAATTAAGGCGGTGTAAGCTAAATTACATGGAGACGAATGTATTTAATCACTGAACAAATTGCTTTTAGGAAGAATTAAAAATAATGTTTTAAAAATTAAGAATGAATATTTTTTGCATCTGTGAAGAAAAATTTAGCAGTAGCAAGAAAAAGATTAGCATACTGCTGTTGGTATGCCCCACTTAAAGGAAATTTATCATGCCAAAATATTAATTCCATTCACAAGTTAGGTGGTAATCCTATTTTTAAGAAAATCATCCCAAAACAAACCTTACAGATTTCAACTGAAACCAGTTGACAGAAGCCTAAATGACCATTAGAAGATACCACATAAAATTTAGAAGAAATTGCTTTAAGTCTAAGTGTTGAAGAGTTGGTTCTGACTCATAGTGACCCTGTGTAGAATTTCCAAGGATTGACTGTTGAGTTTGAACCACCAATTTGTGGGTCAAACTGACCTTGTGGTCCAGAGCTTTATCCTACAGTGCCACAGTAGGGCTCCAGATAATAATCATAAAATTTATTTATTGTATTCTCAGTGGCTTGCTATGTTTTGGGGCCCAGAAAACATTTTCTCAGAACTGTCTTTGAGCTTTCGCTATTATGTTGGTGAATATGTGGTTTGCTGTCAGTTTATTCTGGTACAGTTCTCACGAGCTAAGGGATAGTAGAGTTTGGATTATACACAGGTGAGAGGCACACCTACCTAAAGTTTATACTCTCATACAATGATTGGTTTTACAGCTCAGAATAACCAGAATGTCCTCTTTGTGGTATCCTTTCCTTGGTTTTGTAAACCACAGCCCCAGTTAATCTTTTGGCTCTTTGTCACCACAATTACTTTGTGATTTTAAAACATTTTCCTGGCCTGGCTAATGACTTGGGAATTGATCCTTTTTTTCTCCCCCTCCTTGATAGGTGCTGGATAGTTTACTAGTCCAGTATGGAGTGGTGGAGAGCTGCGAGCAAGGTACATGTCTTCTCAGTTGCTTTCACATTTGTAAAAGGAAGGAAGTGGGAAGAAAACTAACGCTGTTTCCCTCTCTTCGTTTCTCTCTTCCTCCAGTGAACACTGACTCCGAGACGGCAGTTGTAAATGTAACCTATTCCAGTAAGGACCAAGCTAGACAGTAAGCAGTTTGAAACTTTTTGTCTGTCTGTAACAACCAGCGGTTGAGTCTATTAATTTATACTTTGTGAATTTTATAATTCAGGGGAAAGGTTGATGGATAATCAGAAGAAAACTCTAATTTTGAAAAGACATGATTTGGGGGTCAAACTTTGCAAAGTAGATTGCCTAGTGAGTATCTGCATTTGTTACCGTTTTGCTACATTTTCAGTATATTCCTAATGCCATTAATGTAGTGATATAATATGAAGTTGAATTACTACTCTTTGCAGAAAACTGTGGGATTGGATATTCTTGTCAAATTACATAAAGACTTCCTTTTTTCCCCTTATTGGTATGACACATACGTTATTACTATTTTCCTCAAAGCTAGTAAGTTGACCAATTGTTCAGAGTAGTGTTAAATGTTAAGTCGTCTTGCTTACTAATTTTTCTAATGATTACTGTTGTCATTTAGGAGTGTACAGATATTGGGATAATGTAATTTGCTTCCAGATATATTGCAAAAGTATATTCTAGTGCATTTGATAGTTTGATCTGTGAATTTTTGCCTGTCTTGCATAAGAAAAAAATAATTCTGTAGACTTAGGACTGGTCTGGTGAACCCTAGAGAGACAAAATGGGTCTCATGTAGACTGCTTTTGACATGTCATCTCTAAATAGGCTCATGAAGGAGTGCACACAATGTTCCTAGCACCACAACCTGCAGACAAGAAAGTCTTCATGACCTCCCCTGCACAGGTCAGGCAGAAACAGACTCTAGCTTCTGTGCTAGACAGAGAAAGTGGAAAGCCCATGCTTGCTGACTTTGAGTCCTAAAGGAAAAGGGTGAAATGAACTGAAGTGGGGATTTGGCTAGGTTACCAAAGGCTGTGCCCACTCATGGAAGAACTAGGGAAGATAAGGCCAGGAAGGAGATGAAAATCTGATTGCTATAAATGGAACTGTATTTTAAAAATTGGTAATATTCACACTGTTAAATATTTTAAAGATCCAAAGGTAAATCTTCTTCCTGGTTTTGTTCTCCAACTACTCTGTCCCCTTCCTCACTGATAATCCTATGGAAAACAAGTAACATGTATTTTTCCCTCCTTTTCACACAAATACTACCATAACATTTTAATGTTTTCTTCATATAACTCTTTCTTTTAGTTGAATAGAATTTTTATTAAGGTATGTGAAATGACTTATTAGTCTCAAATTAGATATTTAGATTTCTTTCCCTGGACTGTTACAGTTATGAATAATGGTACATCTTGTCTTCTTTTTTAAGCATGTTATTTGTATGTAAATCTATAGGGTAAATTCCCAGAAGTAGAATTAGGTGAGATGTATGAAGGTAAGTCAAAGCATAATGGTACTAGGTTTCCATTTCATACCTGTATGGGTTTATTCCAGACAGTGCCTGTTTTAGCGTGTCTCTGTGATCATGGATGGCTACAGACAAGTTCTCTCAGTGATAACACTTGTCTTAGTCATATTAGGGTACCGTTAGAAAGGAGGTCTGAGAAATGACTTCTGCTGGGTCAGTTAAATTCAAGGCAGTGAACTCAGTTCAGAAGGTTATGGAGAGTGCTTTTTGGGATACCATCTGCTCCTCGGAAGCCCTACACATGGGTCGGAACCGACTCGATGGCACTTAACAACAACAAAGGAGTAATATTGATAGATTTTTTTTTTTGAAGGACACAGGATGGACATGAGGTTTATTAGGAAGAAATTTTGAGAAAATGTGAAACTGCCTGAGTGAGTGAAAGGCCAGGAATCGTACACCAAGGAATTTTTTCCCCCATCATGACAGTGTACCTGCTCAGAAGGTCTGTCCTATGAGAATTTCACTGGGACACCTTACCCATCTACCTTCACGCCTTTCATGTCAAATCAAAGAATTTATTTCAGAGGAACACGATTTGAGTACCTTCAGGTCCCACAACTGCCATTTTGACATGGAGTAGATGAAAGATGCAGAAGTCTTTGGGGAAAGGGATAGATGGAATGCCTACCTTTAAACGTGTGTAAACCTAGATGGAACATATGTGTAGAGAAACTGTGTTCTCACATTTTGATTTTTTTTTTTTTAATAAAGAAAGTTATGATTTTGTAGCCATACTTTTTGACTTACCCTTTTAGGTTCATTTTCAGTTGTGTTAGATATTGGCATGTTGTCCTTTACAGAGCTTGAACTAGTTTAAACTCCCACCAGCAATGTCTATTACTCCACTCTCTGCCCCACACTGTTTGAGCAAACTGCCAATCTGATAAATACAAAGTGATATCTGATTATGTTAATTGTAATTTCTCATAAGTGGTCATCTTTTAATATGCATTAAAAACACTGTTTTTCCTTCTGTCTTACCATTTTTATCCATTAAAAATATTAAGCGGGTATAGGACATTTTTGGCTATTATAGAAATTAGTCATTTGTGCTTTTAGTTGTGAAAGAAATGGATTTTTTAAAACATTAGACGTTGCTCTGCAACCATCAGATAAAACGAAGAACAGGAAAATTTCACATTTTATGTCCACAGTAGACTGGGGAGTGAAAATGAGGACCATGAGAAAACACGGGCTCTGCTTGTCTACAAAAGTTTCATGGGCTCTTTATAAAATCCCTAATGAATATTTGGCCCAGTCCAGGTTAGATAGAAAATAAACCCAAGAATATTAGAGTTTAGTTCTCTTGTTTGTAAACTTAGGTAAATCTTGTTTTGTAAAGGGGGGAAAAGGTCCCAGTTTAATAGGTATTTAGTTTGGTGGGAGATCCTGTATTGAAGATGGATATGACTTTGCTTTGAAGAGGCATGCAATTGAGTAGGGACAAGCTAATTCACATTTAACCATTATTATCTGTCTAAAGCATTAAAAGTATGCCCACAGGAAGGGTAAGACTGGTCAGTCAAGGCAGAATTACTGCGGAATGTAATCCTAACATGACGGCAAGCTCAGTGTGGAGACACCTATAAAAAATACTTGGGCGTGGTTAGATTGACAGGGTCCTCCTGTTCCGAAGGGGTGGAGTGGAGGCTGCTAGGAATTGTGTAATCATTTAACCTAAACAAATAAATGGAGTGTTTCAATTAGAGAAATTGTTATCATAGTCCTTATTCTAATATTCAGTCAACTAATATTTGAGAACGTGACCAAAAGTTGTCGGTGAATGAAGGCAGGAGCGCTGGAATGGCCCCCTTATAGGATCAGCACTTGACTGCTAACAGCATGGTCATCAGTTCAAACCCACCAGCCACTGTAGGAAACTCTATACAGTGTTGCTGTGATTCAGACCTGATCGGACAGCACACTACAACAACATTAACCAAAAAAAAGTTGCCAATGAATGAAGACAAAGTTCCTGTCCTCCAGGCCATGCCTCTCATGGTGCGAGAGAAGACTAGGAGAGCAATCATGGGGTTTTACTTCTTACCTAAGTTGTTAATTTATAGGAATATTGATTTCCTCCTTAGCCCTGCAAGCCTTTAAAAAAAATCAATGAAAATGAGGTTTGGTATTCAGAGACAGTTAATAAATTACGCAAAGGGGAAAAAAAAAATCAGTTTTGTGATACAATGTTATGAATACTGGCATCTATTAGCAAAACTTTCTAATTATTAAAAGTAGAATACATTTTTAGTCTGAGGAGAATTTGAGAATTACTGGATGTCATAGAAAAAACATCGACCATGTAGTCTTGATCTCTCTGAGCTTGAGTTTTTTGTAGTTACAAAATGGATATATTTGTGCATATCTTTATAGAGAAAATAGTCTTATCAAAAGATAGTAATTCTTCACACACTGCTCTGGCACAACTGCCTGCTGCCTGAGCATCCTGGTACCATCTCTCCACTCTCCGCAATGCTTAGAGGGCTAGGCAGAACTTAGCTTCAGGCAATGAGGACTTAACTGATACTCTCATTCAACCTGGTGTGGCCCCACAGGAAAAGCACTGGACCTCAAGGTCAGTTTGAACTGCAAGGTTCTGTGCTGCAAACTCATCAGCCGCTCCTTGGAAACCCTATACAGGGTCGCTATGATTCAGAACCAACTTGACAGCACTTCACAACAACATTCTTCTTAGGGCCTGTCTATGTAACAGATGTGCATGTGAGGATACAAATAGAGAACAGAGAGGAAGAGGATTCATTGTAGAGTCTAGGTCCATGGAGTGCACTCTCTGAGCCACCGTTCTTTAGTTGTGACTTTTGTTAGGTTGATTGATTGGTCTTGGTTTATTAGGTTGATTGATTGGTCTTGGTTTATTGCCATGTGCAATATGAGAATATTTATAGTCCTTAGTTCCTGACGCTGTTGAGAAGCAATAAGATAATACCCTCCAAATGTTAATGGTTACTAAATTTCTTAAAGATCGTTGTCCCCCATTTCCCACCAAATAAGCTGGTTCCTTTGGGAAGTTCAGGGTCACCTACAACGTGTTTTTCATTACGATTTGTTCAGTGACATCCAGTCGGTTCTGAGTCATAGTGACCCTATGTAGGGTTTCCAAGGAGTGGCTGGTGGGTTTGAACCTCTGACCTTTCGATTAGCAGTCCAATGCTTATCCTGAAGCACCATGGATAATACCTTGTTATTGTTAATTCTGCATTTCGAAGTCCTGGTGTGGCACTGTGGGTTAATGCACTGGACTGCAAAGTTGGTCTGAACTGCAAGGTTGGTGGTTCAAGCTCATCAAGCTGTACAGGGCCGTTATGGATCAGAACTGACTCAGTGGCACCTAACAACAACATTCTTCATTCAGGTGATAAATGACCATTGATACTGAGGAGTTAGGTGACTTAGTTTTAGAAGTGTTGAGTTGCTCTGAATGCCACTGTAAGAAGATTCCTCACTATGGCTATACCTCTAAGACAAAATTTACTTGGAAGTTCCTGCCACCTTGTGGCTAAGAAAAATCCGTGTTTAACAGCTCACAAAAAGAAAATAGCAGTTGCTATTTTACCTTAAGGAGCTCTGGTAGCATAGTGGTTACAAATTGGCCTGCGAACCTC